TATTTTATTTTTTTAAAGAGTACAGCTTTATCACTGTTAAGTTCTTGCCACCTAACACAACTCCTCTCACCCAGCCCATGGACCAGCAGGTCATTTCTAATTTTAAGAAACAAAGGCACCCTTTCAAAGGTGTTTTGAGGTGATCTCTGAAACTAATTTAACCCTCAAGGAGTTCTGGAAGGAGCATGTTAATATCCTCACTTGCTTGAGGCTCATAGACAAAGCATGGGGAGAAGTGTATTCCAGGACCATGCAATCAGACTGGAAGAAATTATGGTCTGAGTCTGAGACTTTGAGGGCTTTGAGGATGAGTCTGTTCTGTTGTGGAGGATATTGTGTCTCTGGGCAAGTCCATGGGCTTGGAGGTGGGTGATGATGATGATGATGATGTGGTGGAGTTGGTGGAGCACCACAGCCCTGAGCTGACCACTGAGGAGCTCCAAGACCTTCAGAGGGAGCAGCAACAGATGACAGCTGAGGAGCTCTCTTCAGAGGAAGAGGAGGGAAGGGAGGATACTTCTACTTCATTAATTGGGAAATGAGAAATGAAAAGATTTATTAAGAAACTAGAGGCCCAGTGCAGGAAATTCGTACACTGGTAGGGTCCCTAGCGGCTGCCAGCTGCCAGCTGGGTACTCCCTCCCTTCCCTCCTAGTCGAACTCCCGGTCGAGGGGACAATTTGAATACTACGCTTTTATTATATAGGATATCACCCTCCCTGGCCGGTGTGGCTCAGTGGTTGAGTCTTGACCTATGGACCAGGAAGTCACAGTTGGATCCCCAGTCAAGGCACATGCCTGGGTTGCAGGCTCCATCCCCAGTGTGGGATGTGGAGAAGGCAGCCAAATCAATGATTCTCTCTCATCATTGATGTTTCTATCTCTCTCCTCTGAAATCAATAAATAAGAGTGTATATGTAGGAGACCAAGATGGCGGCATAGGTAAACACCGCAGACTGCTGCCGCAAACAACCACTTCAAAAATACAACTAAAAGACGGAACGGACATCACCCAGAACCACAGGAAGGCTGGCTGAGGAGAGACTCTTCAACTAGAAGGAAAAATAACAGCACACCGAGGCTCAGAGGAGGCGCAGTGTGGAAAAAACTCAGGTGCGGAGGTGCGCGCGCAAAGCGGGCTGGTGGCTGAGAGCGCGGTTGTCGTTTTCGGTCAGGGGGGAGTCTCAGACTCTGAGCTCCAGATACGGGCGAATCGCTGGGGACTCGGACCCAAACGGGAGAAGCGGGAGTGTCTGGCATCAGTTGGAAGGCAGCTTTCCCTCCGAGGTTTGCAGCGGTTCCGGGGGTTCTGAGAAGCAGAGCCTCTGGGAACGGGACTGAGAGGGGCCATAACCGCTCCCTCCGCCCGCCCGCCCTGTTGAGCCCGCCCCGCCCAAGCCCTGCGCAGAGCCATTTGCCAGATCGCCTCAGGCAAAGGCTAGATTAGCACCTCCCCAGAGGACAGAAGTTTTCCGCGGCAGACACAGCTGATTCACACAGCCAGTCGGCCTGGTGGTCAAATCCCTCTAGTATTAACTACAACAATCAAGGCTCAACTAGAACAAGACTGCGCACAAAGACCACTAGGGGGTGCACCAAGAAAGCATAAAAAATGCGGAGACAAAAAAACATGACAGAAATGGAGGATATAGAGCTAAAAATCGCAATTTTGAGGGCTTGCAAAAATGTGCTAGAAGCTGTCAATAAACTTGAGGAGAGAGTCACGAAAACTAATGAGACCCTCGATGCTATGATAAAGAACCAACTAGAAATTAAGCATACACGGACTGAAATAAAGAATATTATACAGACACCCAATAGCAGACCAGAGGAGCGCAAGAATCAAGTCAAAGATTTGAAATGCGAAGAAGCAAAAAACACCCAACCGGAAAAGCAAAATGAAAAAAGAATCCGAAAATACGAAGATAGTGTAAGGAGCCTCTGGGACAGCTTCAAGCGTACCAACATCAGAATAATAGGGGTGGAAATGTCACCCCGACAAAGATGTAGCAAACCATACCATAAACTTGTTAAATGACAATGCAGTATTTCACTTCAGGCAAGTGTTAAAATGCAGGCAAAAATCATTGGATAGGTTTGAATGAGATAGAGGCCCAGTGAGCCTGAAGCAAGTTCTAGTGGAGAAAAGAGAGAAAGAAGCCCAGAACAGCTTCCTGACATTTTCATGGAAGGGGACTCCCCTTCCAAAGAGTAACATTCTTCCATCCCTCCTCTCTGTATTCACTCATCAATAGCTCTCAACATTAAAGATAAGTTCTAGGGGTGCGGCCGGAAAGGGGGCCGCCCCCACGCCCTTCACGCAACGCATGTTCATGGGGAACCTGGCGCTAAACCATTCGTAGACGACCTGCTTCTGGGTCGGGGTTTCGTACGTAGCAGAACAGCTCCCTCGCTGCGATCTACTGAAAGTCAGCCCTCGACACACACACACACACAAAAAGGAAAGTTCTAGTGTGTGTGTAAACTTTCCTTTTTTTACTGTATATTTCATTTCTTTTTTAATTTTTATTTACATTTTACTTCCTTTTTATTTTTTTAAATATATTTTATTGATTTTTTACAGAGAGGGAGAGGGATAGAGAGTTAGAAACATTGATGAGAGAGAAACATCGATCAGCTGCCTCCCCTTTTTATTTTTTAAAGTGTTTATTTGTAGATTAAACAGTGCACTGAACATGTACTGTACATAAGAAAGGTTAAAACGGGTCTGGAATGGATTAATTCAATTTATGTTATTTCTAATTGGGGGGAAATGATTAGGTTTTCAAGCAAATTGCTTCTTTTTAAATTTTTTAAAAATTGATTTCAGAGAGGAAGAAACCTCAGTGATGAGAGAGAATCATTGATTGGCTGCCTCCTGCATGCCCCATGTTGGGGATCGAGCCTGCAACCCGAGCATGTGCCCTTGACTAGAATCGAACCTGGGAACCCTCAATCCACAGGACAATGCTCTATCCACTGAGCCAAACCGGCTAAGGCAGCAAATCGCTTCTTGAACAGCCTTCCAGAAGGAATTAAGTTTGAGAACCGAGGTTCCACTGTAATCCACTAAAATTTATTTTCAGATTTAGTCTCTTCTACTATTATGTCTTCAAAAGTGCTCTCAAAATTCTTGTTTATAATAAACAATCTTTTGGACCTGTTTCCTTCTTTCCTTTGGTCATTATATCTAGATAAATGGCAGGATATAAGAGAGAGAAACTTCATGGTAACAAAAAGTATTTCTTGAACCTCTGTGAAGTGGGATGGGCACTATTCTCAGACGGTGGTTAAATCCATTTTCTGTAAAGCATTTGCTTTTCTTGGATTCTAGAGATAAAAAAAAAAGCTCACACAACTACCCCAATGCCAGGAAAGCATGGCCAGTGATCCTGGTGCCCTGAAAGATAACTTTATGTGGCATGAATAGGAACAAGAAAAAGCTGGGTAGTTTGCCAATGTCCAGATTCCTGCTTGTCTTTGCAGAGAAGTTTTGGATCCTTAAGCTGTCTTTCAGGCATTTTCAATTCTTTATCCTGTAAATTATTCCACAGAAATAATACATGAATAAATTTAGTGTTGCTAACAATTAGGTCCTCCAAATACTTTGTGCCATTGACCAAATCTAAACCAAGTTTTCCTATTTTCCACTGCATTATAAATATAGGTCTTGGCGGTAATTCTAACCCATATGAAATATGTATTTCAATCAATAACTTAGGAATTGATGACCAAACTTGACAGTGGTAGTTAAGCCTTCCTGAAGAGAGATGCTTTACTCTGTGGGCTGGGCTTGATCAATGATTCTTCTCATCATTGATATTTCTCTCTCTCTCTCCTTCTCCCTTCTTCTCTGAAATGAATAAAAATATAAAAATAAATAAAAATATATTTATTTTAAAAACGGAAACATCACCCTGGCCAGTGTGCTCAATGGTTAGAGTGTCATCCCATGTACCACAGAGTCAAGGGTTCAATTCCCAAAAAGAAGCCAAATTTAAAAAAATAAATAAAAAATAAAAAGAAGCCAAATCACAAAAAGGTTATGTACTGTGTGGATCAATTTATTTAAAAAAAAAAAAAAGGCCAAGCAGGTTACAGCTATCTAGTAAATCACAAAATCCTATCTTCTGTAACTTAAGAGTAAATGGTTTACATTTCTCCCCAACCAGAGGGTAAATAACTTAAATCACCCTAGTTAGGGTGATAGATAATAGAAATCCAATTCATGCCTTTTGCGCCAACCACACCCAAGGACAGAAGAAGTTAAGGGAATCAATCTCATTTTGGAGCATCAGAATAAAGCTTTATTGAGATGTTCCCCTAAGACTTCCCCTGAACTCCCAGTCTTTAAAACCCTCACAACAAGGACCGAGGGTGTGTTCTCCCTCCCAAGAGCATGCTGATGCTTTTCCCTTTCTCCTCTTCTTCTTCTTTTTTAAAACATTTTTTTTATTGATTTAAAAGAGAGGAAGAGAGAGATAGAAACATCAATGATGAGAGAGAATCATGGATCAGCTGCCTCCTGCTTGTCCCCGACTGGGGATCAAGCTTGCAACCCGGACATATATCCTGACTGGGAATTGAACCATAACCTCCTGGTTCATGGGATGATGTTCAACCACTGAGCCACACTGACAGGGTACATATCTCCTAAACTCTAAGAATTCCCATAAGAATTGCAACCAGGGGAGCAATGGGAAGCAGCAGCTCGTTCAGGGCTAACCCCCTAAAACTATCACCAAGGCCCCCTCTGCTTTGACTTTCCAGTGAGTAGCCCCACCTTGGCTCTCTCCTGTTGCTTCTTCTATCCTAAGCCCTTCCTTATTTCACTGTCCCCATATTAATAAACATACTCTTGCCCAGCTGGCGTAACACAGTAGTTGAGCATCAACCTATGAACCAGGAGGTCATAGCTCGATTCACAGTCTGAGCATATACCCAGGTTCTGGGCTCAGTCCCCAGTGTGGGGCATGCAGGAGGCAGCTGGTCAATGATTCTCTCTCATTCATGTTTTTATTTCTCTCACTCTCTCCCTTCCTCTCTGAAATCAATAAAAATATGTTACAAAAAACAAAAACAAAAACCCACATACTCTCAAAATCACCTGTACTTGTATTTGGAAATCTTTCCTGCACAAAGTCAAGAACCCACACCACTGGCCAGCCCTAGGCAGACACACTCTGGGCTGTTCCTGTCCAGTAACAACTTCACTTAAACAAAATTAAACTCTGCCACAAGCCACTAGAGTTTGGTTAATGTGAATATGAAGTTGGTCTGCCAGTCATTCAAGAGGCTTTCTAACCTACAGAAATGAGTATAATATTCTTTTTTAAATATATTTTTATTGATTTCAGAGAGGAAGAGAGAGGGAAAGAGGGATAGAAACATCAATGATGCGAGAGAATCATTGATCAGCTGCCTCCTGCATGCCCCATATTGGGGATCGAGCCAGCAACCCGGACATGTGCTCTTGACTGGAATGGAACTTGGGACCCTTCAGTTCACAGGCTGACGCTCTATCCACTGAGCCAAATCTGCTAGAGTGAGTATGATATTCTAATTAAAGGAATTTGATCGCTTGAATGGCCACAGGTTAAATGTGAAAGTCGCCATCATTACAAAAGCTAGGAGCCTTAGTCAAATTATATGCTTTTAAGTTAAATATAGATATATGTACTAGTAAACTATGGGTGTGAGCATATCTATGGATATCTTCATGCATCTTAATAATCTGGAACAAGAGTTATTTACTCGAGGTTTGGGATCATCTGCAAATGTGTATGTTTTTCTAATGCAAAGATTCATCACTTTCATCAAATCCTTAAGGGGTTTATGGCCAAAAGGTTTACTAGTAAGAACCACTCTAAGATGAGATTAAAATCAAGATACTATTACTTTATATATTTATGAATGCATTAAATAAAAATCACAAGTAACTTCCATTTCAGCAAACAGCAAGATAAGTAATGTCCAATATTGTAAATAGTTGTAACAGGATTAGTAAGCATGTTTATACACTAATACAGCCCTGGCAGGTGGGCTCAGTTGGTTGGAGCATTGTCCTGTGCACCAGAAGGTCTTGGGTTCAATTCCTGGTCAGGGCGCAAGGTTGTGGGCTCAATCCCCAGTTAGGGTGCATACCAGAGACAACCTATTGATGCTTCTCTCTCACATTGATGTTTCTCTCTCTCTTCCTCCCTCTCTAAAAATTCAATTTAAATAAATTAATATAAATAAATAAAACAAGCTTATTAGGGAGGGGGAAGTTCAAACACAGACTTTAACCTAGATTGCAATCTACCAATAAACTTACTTCCACTACTTTTTCAAAAGACTTCAATCAGGTAACTTTAAGGCAATACCAAATATAAATAGATTGCCATTTAACATAGTTCCTCAGTTAGAGCATCTTATTTTCTTATATTAGTAAGAAAAATAAATTATTCTATATGCTTTATAACAAACTGAATAAAAGAAATACTGTGGAAACTCCTTTTGTAACCAAATTTGCAGCCCAAAATCAACTTCAGAGCCTGAATTTTTAAAGCCATGACCCATTCAGAGGATTCCAAGAATAGTTCTCTAATTGCTGAAAAGCATTTCTTCCATAAACCTATTTTGGAAATAAATGGAATTTGAAAAATTAGCAAGTTTGAGAGTGCTATACACAAACCTACCAAGTTATTGTACTATTTGTTTTGTTACATTTAAAATGTAACTTATTTATCCATCCATTTGACAAATACTTATTGAATCTGTGTTATATGTAGGCACTGAACTAGGTGCCAGAGTTACAGTAGTGAACAAAACAGACCAAAAACTATAATAATACAACAATCTTGCTCACTGTAAAGCATTCAGCTACAAAAACATGTAGAATACAAACTCAGTGATCCTCATGAATACTTGCCACATACATCTCAGTTCTCCCCATAGAATAATCGCTGTTGACAGTTCAATGCATTTTCTTTCCAAACTCTTCTGTTTACTTACATAGAATACTTTATAGTACAGTATTTTAAAAATAGCTTTATTGAGACACAATGCACATACTGTATGTGTGTGTCTATATACTATATATTCACTTGTATAAAGGCAGGTTTGTGCAACCATCATCATAATCTAGGTAAGAGAATTTTAAAAGTATAAATATATGTAGTATTACATGTGTAATTGAAAAATTCACTTATATGGATTATGGTGCTATATGGAGTATACAGTATGTACACAAAACTTTCATTTTTGGTTAGTACTAAACCTTGATGATATTCTCTCAATGTCAGCATAGATTTGTGATTACTTTCTACAGAGAGGAATGTGACATAACTCCTCTCCCTTGTCAGGTTCCTTAGAAAAGAATGCTGAAAGGCAGCCATTCGATAGGCTTAATTATGGGTAACCCTGTGATTTCAATAAACAAAGAGAAGTTAGTTGATTTACAA